ATTATCTTTTTCACCTTGTATTTGTATCTTAATTGGAGTTTCAAAAACACAGATAAACATAAATTCAGAATAAATAGATGATTTTCTTTAATTGGCAAAGATTCCTAAGCATACTAACATAATCTAAACTGCTTATTCTTGCAAGGTAGCTTGGGTCCTGTGTCTTTCTCCTACTGTTTATATTTCCTTGCAGCATAATTTCTCAATTCTGCATTGTAATTTTGGAGAGTATAAGAATAGTGCACATAACGTGATACGGTATATCATATATATGGTATATATGTACCATATATGCTTACGTTGTTTTCTAGAACAGAGTGTATGTGAAAAGTAACCATGTTATTTGAAGTCTGGTGAACAGAACATCTTCCTGGGGCTGTTTCATAAATTTAGGTTACGAAAGGCTTAGAAAGGATGGTAGGAAGTATTAGTTAGTTTGGGGTTGATATTCTCCAAAAGACAATGGTATACATAAAGAAATTTTAAATTGTGTTGGTACACAAGAAGAGTTCAAATAAAAGATTTAAAACAAACAACTTCCTTCTGAAACACACTTGCAAACTATGCATAGCCCATAAACTAGACAGTTTCGATGCTTGCTCTCTTTTTGCTATGTGATGACTGTAGTGAATGAGGGGCTGAGAGGAAAAACAAAAGACTTTTTCTCACAGTAGAAAAGGGATTTCAGGGAAGCAGTTTCAATAAACAATGACCCACATGGACTTGCAGCAGCCGGATTCACATCCATGGAGTCGATCCAGGCCCTGAAGCACTGGAGAGCACAGAAAATCGGAGAGGGAAAGGGGAAAGGTAAAGTGGGAGGGAAACTGAAGATTTCAAGGTCACCTGCAACCAAAGCCCTGAGTGTCACAGACCTGGGTCACAATGTCTTCAAAATCATTATTCCATCCTAATAATAACAGGAGAGCTGCCACTCATCAGGATGAGTTTTATACCCATCATTGTACTGTCCTTTAGTTACTTTTCAATGCTCACAATAATGCCTGAAAGTGAGTGTCCTTGTTCTGTTTATTGTGCAGATGGCAATGTCATGTTCACTGTAGTTCATGGAGGACTAACAACTGCTGGGTGGTCAATGTGCTCTCTGACCTCTGTCCCTTCAGAGCCTAAACTCTGTGCTCAGCTGCATCTGTTGCTCCTCCTTTTTGCCCTTGAAGAATTGATCATTTCATGTGTTTTGTGTTTTTGGTTAGTTTTGTCTTCAGATGAAATGAACACATAAGCAAAAAGTTAATTCACTATAAAAACTGAAGCCTGAGTTTAAAAGAAAGGAGAAAATGAATTATTATGAATTCAGTTAATTTCAGTTTGACTTGAATCACTTAGGGACCTGTCAGCATAGATCACAGTTCAATGTGGGTGTGGAGTAGAAACTGCCATTCCACGTCTGTGCAGCTGTGAATGAGTGATGCAAACTCTTGTGATTCATAATTTACATGACAGAAACAACAATTCCAAGCCACACTATTGCTGGAGGGAGACAGTTGATGTACATCTCAAGTGGAGGGATGTGTTTATGGTAGGAGAACAAATTGAAACTGTCAGATTTTACTGTGTTCAGGAGGAGTGAATCTGCTGACAGATGCAACCATGGAATTTTTGATCAAGTTACTGTATTAAACCATCTGTATTTCATTTTACAAATTTAAACATTTTTAGTTGACATAGATGGTCCATTAAAATTTTAAGAGTTTAAAGCCTGTAAAACTCCACACAATTTATAAAATCATTTATGTTTTCAAGAAAATACTTCCAGAGAATCTTCATTTACAAATTCATCAAGATTATACACTATGTATGGTGCTTGTACTTTCTGATTTCAGTTCAGTTTCCTTATGTTTCTGTATCTTCTTTCTCACTGCTGCAGCTCATGTAGAGGTTCTGGACAGCACTGATGGAGAACAGGACAGAGGTGACTGAGTTCATCCTGTTGGGACTGACCAATGACCCACACCTGCAGGTTCCCCTCTTCATCACCTTCCTCCTCATCTACACCATCACTGTGGCTGGGAACCTGGGGATGCTCCTGCTGATCCTTCTGGACCCTCGTCTGCACACTCCCATGTACTATTTCCTGGGTAACCTGTCTCTAGTGGATTTCTGTTACTCCTCGGTAGTCACTCCCTCATTCATTGGCAGGCTCCTGACAGGAAACAAGATCATTTCCTACAATGCCTGTGCTGCTCAGATGTTCCTGTTTACAGCCCTCATTTGTGTGGAAAATTATCTGTTTACTGCAATGGCCTATGACCGCTATGCAGCAGTGTGCAAGCCTCTGCACTACACCTCCACCATGAGGAGCAGTGTGTGTGTAGGTCTCGTCATAGGCTGCTATGTCCTTGGTTTACTGAATGCCTGCATCCACACTGGGGAAGCCTTTAGTCAGTCCTTCTGCAGCTCCAACATGATTGACCATTTCTTCTGTGATGTCCCACCAGTCATGGCCCTCTCTTGCACTGACAAACAGGTTACTGAGCTGGTTCTTGTTTATGAGGTGAGCTTCCATATTTTTTTT